ACAATCCTTGCAACGTCACGTTCTTGAGAAGTGAGAGTTTTTTTCTTTATTTCTTAGGTCAGTCCATCTGATTTCTTCATGTGAGCTCATTGATTCTTTGATATAATTTCACCGCTTTTAATGTTTTCAATCATTTCGTGATTTTAATACAATAACACATTGGCTATTAATGGTAATTAATTGACTGCTTTCCAGAAGAAATTTCTGGAGCCTGTATAAAGGAGTGTCGGTGGTAGAAAATATTTTTACTGTAATGATGTCCTGTAGAACTGTGTACTCTTGCTACTGAAGGTTGTTACTATTGTTTCAACAATTTTATTACTATCTAAAATGTGTTATGATGCCATAACTTCTGTCGTTGTTCCCAAGTGACATCGTTGTGTATCTCATCAAGCTTATGTTGAGTAGAGTAAGAAAAGTGGGTAGATGAAGATGCTTCCCTTGATCTCTTTTTGTAATGATTTTTGCTCTATCTTCTTTGAAGATTGTCTAAAATACACAACAATGCAGTATATTGGCCAAACAGCTTCCATCCTGAGGTGATTTATCTGTTTTTCGTGCTACAATTGGCTGGAAAATGCCTCATGCACAGTATGCCTCATAATGGCCTGGTGGTCAGCTTTTTCAGCAGAAGCTCTATTTCTGCTTTACACCTCTCCAGCATTTCTTCCCCCCTTCTTTCTTTCTGGACTCCCAAGGCTGTTCTGTAGCTGATGTCCCATCTCTCTGCGTGAGATTTGTTCATCACGTGGCAGAGAGGGGAGAGGCAGCAGGGAGGGAAGTAACCGCATGTGAGCAGGCACCCTGAAATCTTTCGAGGCACAGAAAATGTTATGTTGGTGCTATCAGTCTTCCCCTTTCTGTATAGTGTGTGTGTTTTCTACAGTATATTTGTCTCTGTATGCAAACATTTTTCACAGAGCTTTTATAAATGGTGTGACTCATTGCTAGCAGATCTGCGAAGAGGTGATGGTTATGTCGTGATGCATAAGCACAGATGTAGCCGAGTGCCAGCTGTACAAGGCATCTGTTACTGTGCTTCTATCCCTGCACTGCAATAGGCAAATAGAAAAGGATACAAGAGCCTGGCTGTATTTGTATATTTGTTAATGCCAACATTTGGAAGTTGTCGGTGAATTTGTGCCCATTACCTCTAAAGAAGCTGTTGCTATCTCTGCATTAAGCAGCTATTTTAAGTCAGGTTACATAACAAAAAATTTGTTGTAATTTGTGGGAGTAATTTGCAAGAATTTTATTTGTGACAGACTTAATGTTGTTACCAGACTGCAAACCCCAGTGTTTTCACATCCCTGTCTTAATCTCTCCCCTTTACATAAGCATCACTGGTTCACTGGAATATGATGGGAGCCCTTCTCCTCGGTGAGACTTGTGTGATCCTTCAGTTTGTCAGAAGAGCTTCTTGCCTACAAGTCTCCGTCTTTTATTTTCTCCCAAACGATGGCAGTTTGCTAGGAGGGGCCATCAACTGGTACATTTCAGGCACATTTATTTACAAGTTTCTATGATCCTCTGATGAACTGTATGTTCGTTATTTCTGGCGCAGAGCAAGATGCAGTCATTTTAGGTCTGTACAGTTCTTAGGTTTCGAGACTTCCGATTGTCAAGAGAGGTTTTTGCAGTTTTGTGGGGCTCAGCCTTGCAATCTGTGGTGGTTTTGGTGGTGATCTGTGCTAGTTTGGATACTTCTGGTTTTGTAGCTAAGATTTGAATATACTTCTGTTGATTACACTAAATGATATTTTTTGTCCTTATCGGTGGTGTCTTTTTTAATATTTAATATTTGATTGGGTATTTATGTGATAATTTAGTGAAGAAAATTGTTAAGAACAAAGCGTTAAGCCCAAGGCAGTTTTTCTAGAGACCCTATAAAGGGCTCCAGGATGTTTGTCAGTAACGATGCTTTGTCTTACTGAACACCGTAACTATTTGTCTATTTAAGTGGGGCATCTTGCTTGGTGTGAATCTTCCTGCTGTGTGGTAACATGACAGAATAATGAAGTAATGTATGTGGTATGAATGTTATGGAAGAAGGGAAACACATTCATCCTCTGCTTTTAATTGTGGTGATTTTGTGTTCACATTCTTCTTAAATAATGAGTTAGAAGAAGTTGAGGTGCCTCGCTTTTAATATCCAGGACTCAGTCTAGATTTTTAACTTAAGAACGTAAAGAGAACACTGTGATTGAGTCTGCAATCAGAAACCCCTGAGTTCTGCATTTCAAGAAGACAGGGAATCAGGAGAAGCTCAGTGGAGGTCATAAAGTGTCAGAATAAACTGCGTTGTGCTGCAACTCCATGGTGGCAACTGGTTGTAGCTTTTGCAGCCCATTGCGCGTCTTCTGTTGCTTAATTCACGTGCCTCTACTTTCTTTCTTGCTTCCAATTTGTTAGACCTTTCAGTGGGCCAGCCTGGGGGAGAATTCCCTCTAGAGGAGAAAGAAAGGACAAAGTGTTATTTTTCTGTTGATTTAATGTGCTGAAATGGGTCAGTATAGAATCTGTTGCCTTAGAGGAAGAGTAAGGAAAGTACCCAGAGCCACTGGTACTGCTACTTTTGGACATCACTGAAATGGAGGAGGGAAGGAGCTCTTAGCACTGCTTGTGAGCAGTGTAGGCTAATCAAGGTACTCTGAGTATTCCTGAAGTGCTGAGACAGAAATGAATCCCTAGACGTGTGTCTGTAATCCTCATTCTCCTGTTCTAGGAGAATTATCTTGCTGCTAGCTGAGGAGATACAAAGGAGGGTAAAGGCCACTCCAAAGGCTCATACTGTTAGAATGGTTGAGAAATAATGTCTTTGGAAAAGAAAAGGAGTTTTGTAGTGTTGGGGAATCCTTGCTGTATGGGGTTCTGTTGAACTATGAAATGAAAATATTTGTTGGTATTTTTTTTTCCACCCAGCGAGTTGAAACACGTTATTGAGTTGTTAGGGAGGTCTGGTCAAAAAAGAATGTGACATTATGGATCTCACCATTACACCATCACTCATTTAGGTACACAGTTTTTGGAGTAGCATTTATAAATTTAAATTATGCTAATATAATGAATGTTATGTCTAATGAATTCAGAGTCCCCAGTAGCAAATGACCTTCATAACAGCCACTACTTGGAACAGGAAGAACAACCAGAATCACCAGAAGGAAATGGTAAAGAGTGATTCGAGTGATTGAAACTTTGTCATTATTGCAGAAAATAATAAAACCCACCCCAAACACACGTATTATTTTCTCGTCATGGGTTGCAGTATTCCATGAAATTAAAGGAAAGGTAACATTTGGAAAGAGGACTTTGGTGGTGGAGCTAGGTAAAATAGGGTACTTCTGACCCAGTCCATCCTACTACTTGACTATTAGCACTCGAGCTCAAGTGGCTGGTTTTTAACCAGTGCGGTTTAAAAAAGCACCGGTAGAATGGTCTTCATGATCAGCCCAAAGGAAGGTCTGACATCGTAATAATTCATTTGAGTGAGGTGATTATTAGCCATGGTTTTGTTGGTGCAATAGGTATTAGAAGGTACAGAGTCCTGAGCTGTAGTCACAGTGAGCTCGATATCAAATCAAAGTGGGACTGTTGAGCACAGGCTAATATGGAATCAGTATCAATTATACTAATATAATTTTAGCTATATTGACTGCTGTGATTTCTGTTTTGAAATAAGAATCTGTGCAGCCTTTTATCAAAATAATTTCCTGAAGGTAATAAATACACTTAAATGATAAAAAGCTTTGTACGTGGACCTTGCTGTGGTTTTCTGTGTTTTCTAGCAGCAATGAGCTTCTAATGTGAAGTAACTGGACTTGAGTCTCAGTGTTTTAAAAGTGTTTCTGAAGGGCCTTTGAACGGCTTAAAAGTAATAACTAGCACCCTCTAGTTATTAGCCTAGGTATGTGCCTAGAAAAATGTATATTTTGGGAAGAATTTCAGTAGGCAAAATGTCAAAATGTATTTTTGTATGATTTCTCTGACAGTTGTCTTTCTGTGCATATATTGTTTCTCCACTGCATACTTACCATATGTGCCATCTTCTGATCTTTGCATTTGGGATAAACAGCTGGCGTTTGTACTCCAGTTCTCCAGAAAGTCCTCAAGCAGCTCGAGCGGCTCCCAAAGACAAGCAAGTGTTATGGCAGGAATTGTGTGAAACTCTGTAAAATAAAGCAGATATGGGCAAAGGGAAACACCCTCTTTTACCAATACTTAGTGTGTGTTTGTACAGCTGGCAATTTGTGCTCCTTCATATTCGTTGACCTAGAAATAGCCAACGTTTTAATGCGTTCTTGGAGGGGAAAAAAGGTGTTACGGAAAAGAGCTGCCACATCAAAGCCTCTCCTCAGCTTGTCAAATGGTTTCCAGCACTACCTTCCTTAGCCCTATCGGGACACTCAGCACTTTCTTCCTCTCAAAAGAAAGCGAGCCTTTTTATTAAGAAATGGCCTTAGAGTTGTATTTATATTAAAATGATAAAAGTGACACAAAGCAGTTGAAAAGATCTGTATAGTTCAAACAAAAAGTCCATCGGAGACGTAATGTAAATTCTGTGTAATGTGTCTCTATCAAATCAAGTCGTACGATTCAGCTGTTGTGTAAAGTGAAGTAAGCACTCCTTTGGGGAAAGTGTTACTCTGGAATATTCTTTGAAATAACTAGAACGTAGCTGAAAACTTCATGCCTATCAAATGGCTCGTATTTTGCTGGGCAGATCTGCTGTTCCAAAGCCTTGCTTGAGACAGAGGAAACGAAGTGCTTGACAATTGGTTGCACAGTTCGGGTTCTTGAACATTGTGAATATCATCATTTGATTTTAATCATACCTTCCCTCCATGTGGAAGATTTGTACTGACCCTTTGTTCTACAACATTCTATTCAAGTTGCTGGCTTTCTCATTTAGCATTCCTAATAATAGGAGGCGGAAATAATTTTAGGGTAACTTTACCGAAAAAGTCCTCCTTTCCACTAAAATCTTTTTCTGTTCATTTTAGCACAAGCCCACCTTACTGCTGTGTGGACCTTTATTCCTTGCGAACAGGAGAGATGGTCAAGTCCATACAGTTCAAAACTCCTATTTATGATCTGCATTGCAATAAAAGGTAAGGATATTTGCTGTACATTCTTTCTGTGTTAGGGCATGTAAAATTTGAGTAATTAATACAATTTCTGGTGTATGTGCTCCCTGACTTTATTATTTTGACTTTCCTGTAAGCATGGCTTTGGTTCTCCATCTCTCAAGTGATATTTGAGTAGACAATATGCTTCTCCAGTGGCTTTGTCTGAAGAAGTTCAAAACGTTTTGCATCTGAAATCATTTAAGATTCTTTCAGTTGTGATGAGGGTGAGCAGGAGTTGTTGGAATCCTCTATCATCTACCTACAGATGGAGAAATGGGATCATCCAGAGTTTAAACAATATAGAGCACTGAAGAGTTGATAACTCCTTTCTCTTTGTGTTCTGTTGTTCTGCCAGATGTATTGCCTTCCTGCACATCAAAAAATACCTAGTGCGGGCTCTGTGGTTCACGGGAAGTAACGTTCCTGTGAGTCAAATAACAGAGCGGCATCTCTGAGCTGGGGTAATATCACCTAATATCTAAGAGAGATGGCTTAGAAGGCTGAGCATCAGGTTGAAAATGCCTTGTTCCCATAGAATCGTGAGTTCAAAGCTTTCTGAATTATCTCTGGATCTTCATCTCTTACTGAGCCCCCTTGTAGTTTACTGCATCTTTTTAAGACAGGAGACCCGGGATCCCTACATGTGGATCTTGATGATCCATTGGCACTCCAGATCAGAGAACTTGATGCAGTGACATTATTGAAGTCCATGGTTGTGCCCCTGCCTTTGCTTCTTCCCACCCAGCTGTTACTGTTATTGCTCACTGTGTGTCTTGAGGTGCCTTATGGAAGTTGGGGAATATGGTTCCTGAATGAAGAAGTTGCTGCATTTCTTTGGCATTTCGCTTGCTGAAGTTGTTTGTCCTTCAGTAAGGAAGGTGCCACAATAAATAATTAAAACACAATAAAACATCAGGATGATACATTTCTTGTGCCTGTTTTGGTGGCAGTAGCCAGCATGCTTGCATATGTGAAGACCACAAAAGAATACGAGCATGTGTTGAACTATTGCAGCTAAGGGTAGTTAGCACTGTTGGAGACTGGAAGGGAAAAATGATACCAAAAAAACCTCCCCACAATCCTGGAACTGACAAAGGTTTTGTTAAACATACATTTGTTAATCATTGCACCATCAAAATGGGAACTTTGATGACTACATTAGGCCGAGTATAAGTTACAGGAGGAAAGTCGCACTACTGAACAAGGAGCTTTATACCACAACTAGTCTGATAATGTGGAGGATATTTTGATAGTGTACATGTTTAAAGAATTAAAGGATGGTAATGCTTTGTTGCTGTTGTGGGTTTTCTTTTTCTAAATCCCTGTCCATCATCTTATTGTAGGATGGGGGCATGATTGTTCTATCAAAAAAGTTTCCCTGAAGTGGTTGTCAGTGAGTTATGTGCCATGAATAGGTCACTGTTCCTTTAAAAGCTGTCAGAAGGAGTTCAGTACTTATCTGTGCAACTGTCCCTTGCAAAATTTAAAGTTCCCTTGTGTACGGTGTGATGATAGTAAATCTTTCCAGTCTGGCCTCCTGGCAGAAGAAAAATCCAATTGTAAAAACACTCAAGAGGCAAATTATCATTCAAAGTCTCTCCCAGCTAAAAAGTCTTTCCAGGTGCTAATGTTTCTTTTCCTAAGTGGTAAAAATGGAAAAGCTACTTCAAAGCTGTGTGGCTGTATCCAGGGTAGCTGCTTCTCTGGAACGTATCAGATTCTGTTGTTTTCCAAGGAAAGCTCACTACTTCAGGTTGAAAATGCATTAAATGTGGCCAAGTGCAGTGCTAATGATGCGTTAACCGTACCATAGACTAATGGAGTCCAAAATTTTGATTTAAAATAAAACTTCAGCTGCAGAAGAAGGGAAAACTGTTTATTATTTATGTATTTATACTCTAGAATCATCCATCTGGTAGGTTTCATTTATGCAGAGAGACAGTGTATCTTCAAAGGGTACAAACCAAAAATCCACAGGATTGGGAAATATTACAATAAAATATACATAGGTTTTCTATATATATTTACACTTGCACATGCATGCAAAGTCTTTCCATTATTCATTGGTTAACTTTCTTTAAGGCCTTGTGGAAGAAGTTAGAATGGATGCGTTTTCTTTTGTTTTTCTCTCCTGCAGTTAAATCAATTAGGAGACACATTGTTTAACTAAAACTTCTATTTTGTCCAAAACTAATACTAATTGATATATGCAGAGCTTATAACTTTTAAAAATTGAGGTTTATGAATTGGAAGGGGGTGGTCAAGTACCTTTTTTGCTACAAGCAAATAAGAAATCCTACGTGAATTTGTGTGACCTCACACGTGCGAATCCCCCTTGTTGAGTTTCGTGCTCTGCCCTCTTCTTTTGCCAAGGAAGCTGTTCCCTCTGACAGTGTACCCCTGCTTCCCATGCTGGGGCTGCCAATCTCTGAGTATGACTTTTCCCCAAAAATATCACTTGATTTCTACCTTTTTTCCGAGAATTTGTGTTTTTCCTTGTTTCTGAATAGAGGCATACCAATAAACCAGCAACAAAGTCCCAAGACGAGAGGTTATAAACCCAAGAGTCCTGAAGGAATTGGAGATAAAGAACAGACTTTATTGCTTTAATCGGCCTCTGTATCAGACGCACAGGGAGCAGGCAGGGGTGCACCAGCCGACTGAACAGGCTCCAGAGTTATCTTGGTAACTACAGATGCAATCTGGGTTATTTGGCAAATGTGTCAGCAAAAATAATAGCAAAATCAAATGGCAAACAGAAAGATAAATCATGCCTATTGGAGAAGCATTAATACAGCTTTGTAGGTGGAAATCGTGACTTAAAACTTATTTATGTGTCTAACAACATCGGCAAGTGTGTGGGTAATGTATGTATTTTGATTTTAGTGTAGTCCATCAGAGTCTTACAGGTATTGAGCTCTCATGGGATAAAAAGGAGGTGTTCTTGTGACTTTAACAGTTAAAAAAGCAGGGAGAGGGGGAAAGAGGAGTTAATGGCTGGTTTTCACACTGATAGGAGATAAGCCTCACCCTTTATCCAAGGATATGTGCGATTCATCATCTTTTAAAATATTATTCTATACTGTAATATGCCATCATAATTTTCAGATAAATCATTAGGTATTTTAATAATTGAGAGATGTGATGAATTTTTTTACTGCTTCTTATATGCACAATTAAAACTGTTAGAACAGCATTTAATAATGATCCATATTGTCAGCTAATTAAAAAAATATTGTCTCATATTCTTCCTAATGAGAAAATAATCAGATTCTTAATTAATCGCGTCATATTGCTAAATGCTCCAGATAGCTGATAGATTTTATCTCTTTATTTGTCAGCTTCCCAGGTGGTTCTTTCATTTCAAGAGCTTAAAGAAAGCTTAGGTTTAGGGAAGTAATCAATGCAGGAGGAGATGTATCCTATTTAAAAAGCTTTCAAGATGCTTCACTTTCCAAATCTGGCCTCTATTAATTTAGGCAGCAGAGTGTTTCATGCATAGTTACAGTGTGGCACTTGTTCTGATACTTTATTTCGAACGCTGAACAAGTATTTTGCAATAAAAGCATGTGCGTGTACAAGTGAATACATCAACATACGCCTGTCGTTTTGCCCATTGACACAAATCCTGCTTCTCTCAACTGTATTTGTGTGCGACGTTCTTGGTATGAAAAAACCCTGCTTTTAGTAAATAAGATGGTTTAATAAATTTGCAACGAGATGGGCAATAGGATTATTTCAAATTTAGATTGTTGATTTGATTGTTATTTGAGTCATTGAAAGTAATTCAGGATCCTTGTGATTCCATTCTTTCTTTTTAATGGAGCTTTTACTGCAGAAGGTGTATCATAAATATGCTGTGTTGTTCTGTATCAGATCTGTGTACTTCCTGAGATGAAGGTTATGTGGTTGGAGTGAGAGAGAATCCTCAATAACTGCCATGCATTGGTAACCTGGCAGTTTGTCACTGTAGAATTTGTATTGATGCTTTTGAAATAATTACATTTAGATATTGAATCTTTAAACCGAAGCATTTAATGTTTAAAGTACATGTTCCATTTCTGTGTTTTCAGGATACTTGTTGTAGTCCTGCAAGAGAAAATTGCTGCCTTTGACAGCTGTACATTCACCAAAAAATTCTTCGTTACAAGTACGTATAATTGGGGTCAGACTTTTTGCTGTAGTGGTGGTGTATGATAAAACAGACTTTTTTGCTTGTTTTATTTCTAAATCCTCAAAGCAGGTCTCAGTGGATTCATTTGGAGTGTCAGGAGATCTGTTGCTTTAAAAAAAACAATCCAAGTGTTACTCTGTGAATCTTTGGCTCTTTTGCGTATTTATTATTGCTGTAACTAATTTCTCACTGTTATGAAGAGCACTTACACTGACACACATAGGCCACTGAAAAATCCTTCTGTTCAGGTTTGGGGTTTCAGGTTGTCCACATAAGCAGCAGTTTACAAAAGCATGGACAGCAATCTGCCGGCTTTTCATTTCTGCTGGTCCTTAGGCCCAGATACATTTATTTTATAACCACAGACTGACATTAGCAGGTGTCAAAGCTCAAGCAGGGCAGTCAAGTGTTGTAGTAGAAGAGCTATAGACAGGTATTTCCCTGCAGATGCTTTTGCATGCCTCTTGAGCATGAAGAAAATGTTTGCTGGGACTCCCCTGTATCCCTGTGTACCCTACGACTTTCCTCTCAGTAGAGGGGTATTGATTGTAACGGACAAGGTGCTCTCCGAAAGCTGTTCCTGTGCTCTCAGTGTCCCTTTGCTGCTCCAACCTCTGTAACGCAGTAACTGGTGTGTTAGTAAGTGATGTGTTTTCTGCTGCTTGTGTTCTGCTTTGTCGCAGGATGTGGTTAGGATTTGGAAGTCGTTTACCTGCTCCCAGGACTGTGTGTGGTGTGATGCTAAACACCAAGGAAGTGTTCGCCCTAGAAAAATTACTACCGTTTTATTTTTCAAACATGTAGTGACTGGTGCTACTGCTGATCAACTAGAATTGCCTCTGAAAATCTGTAGATTACTGAGGGATCACAATTCACTTTGAAGGATCAGAGTTTTAGTGTTAAAAAGGAGCATCTGAAATTCCCTGCGTGTATTTTCAGTCACAGTCGGAAAAGTTCACAATTACCTTTTTATGTTATCTGTGCGTTTAAAGAAAAAGTTAGAGGAAGCTGCTTCTTGTAATAGCTTGAAGAAAAGCAGCATTATGCAGCAATACTAAAGTTGCCAATAGGTGTCAGTTTGTTCCTATACATGGCTGTGAGATCCTAAGAGTCTGCTGGGTGCAGTGGAGAGCCAAGTGGGAACAGGCGCGCTTGTGTCCTCCTGGGCCTCGTTCCTCCTTGTTGTGCCACCATAGAGAGTTGGGGTATGGGCCTCGCTTTATTTTAGATCAAGAATAAATAAGCTCAAGTGAGTGTGTATTTTGACAGCTCTTGTGCTTTTCTAGCTCTGAAGTATTGTTTCGTGTTGTTTTTGTTTTGTTCGGGGTTGGGATTTTTGTTTGTTTGGGTTTTTTTAGATATTGCCATTTGTTTTTAAAAATTAACTGTATTATGGGGAACAGGAGTATCCTCTTTGTAACCGTCACTTTCAGCTTGCAGTGGGTTTTTGTGGAACAGCATTGGAATTTAAAGAAGATAAAATAAAGCTTTTGGAGATATTTACGGAACTGTTTGAAAATCCAGACTTTTGAGATGTCACTGTTCACTGTATTTCTCCAGCTATGATGTGTTTTTTAATATGAGAAAATTAAATTGTTCTCAAACTTTGTTCTAGTTCTGGGGCCCAAAAGCTCGGTTCAGGACCCCCCCTCACTTTGTGCTGGGCATTTTGGGAAGCTGCAGGACCCAGCAAAGAGCAGAGCTGCCGCCTGTGCAGCCCTTCCCCTTCCCCAGGGACGGCCGTGACGGTGCAAACAGCTGCCTGCCCTTTTCCCTTGGTGACTGCGTTTCCTGGGCCTGTGCTGGTGAATGGTTGTCCTGAGGATTTTGGAGCTTAGTCATTTCACTTCATAGCTTATGCTCTCAAGCTCTGGCATGTTGAAGGCTGCAGTTCAGCTTTTCTCCAAACTTTCAGATTTTGTGTGTGCTGAAATCTCTTCGACGTAAGAGTGTATCTTTAAAGGCTCAAGTTGCTCTGATGTGTTTGGAATGCGATGTAAATGAGCTACCTAGTTAGCTGCAGAGATTTTTGATAATCAGCCAACTGGCCAGCAACTGGGCTCTTGTGCAGCTTTTTTTATTTTTCTTTTTTTAAAAATTTAGGAAGATGCAGTGTAGTTAAAATCGGAAAAGCAGAAAACCCTGAAAAGGAAGCTCTGCAAAAGGTCCTACAGGCCTCTTTGTTTGCACCGTTGGAGCATCCCTGCTCTGCAGCAGTCAGCCGGCGTCCCCTCTGGATCCGTCCTGGTCACCTCGGCTGGGCGGTGGCAGTGGGGATGTCACTGCCTGTCCGGAGAGCTTCTCATTGTGAAGAAGGTATAAAAGGTCAAAAATACTAAATTAGGATTGCTAGCTATTTGAAGACATTTTTGTTTACTGTGTAAACTGCTGTGCAGAAAAATAAAATCTTTTTTTCGAGAAGATTTGGTGGTGATGCGGAAATAGCATCTTCCACCCGTATCAACTGAGTGGCGTGGGAGCCTTAGAACCTCATAGAGACAGCTAAAAAGCAAAATTAATTAAGCAGAAGCTCTCGTCCGTTTTGCTGACAATTTATACATAAAAATGAAATGCAGAATGTACAATTAAAACCAGCATGAGGAGCTCTGAAGTTCAGTGCTCCTCAGCAATGCTAATGCAGCTGCATTGCACATGAGTAGTGTTCATCTTTCTGTTTTTGTTTTTGTGGTTGAATGTGCAGCTTAATATATTGTTGTAATAAATATGCCATAAAATATTCAGGATGTAGAACATGGTCAAGTTCGTGCTGCTCTTGGAGTGTTTAACTCCTGCATTTCCTTATTTTTCACGGGCAAATTAGACATAGTACTAACCTTTTATTTTCTACATGTGATTAGATGGAGTGTACTGATTTGACTTGAACAGCAGAGAACCAGCACATTTTATTTGTGCATTTTGTAACGAAAACTCAGTGTACAGGTGCTCCAGTCTTGGTGAGTGAATTTGAGACAGGTGCTTAAACTTGAAGGGAAAACATACTGTGGGTATTGTAGAAAAATTACCAGGATATCCTGCAATCTGCCCTTTGGGGTGTTCTATTTCTAAATGTCGGCTAAGGAAAGGCATGGCATCAGTCTGCAAAGAACTCATGGCAGTAACTTTAGTACGACTCTGTTCTGTGCTGTGCTCGTGCTTGGAGCCAGCTCTGTTTCCTTAAGGAAGGGCTTGCACTGAGGGGAAGATAAAGCCAAACAGTAACTTGGTGTCCTGCGCTGTTTTAAGTGCTCGTGTGGCCAAACAAAAACAAATTCTTTTGCTGCTTATTATAAAAGTGTGTTTCTTTTGGTAACTTTGAATGTCTAGGTGTGGAGTTTAACTATTCAGAAATCTCTTTAAGAGTTTTGTTGTGGTTCACTTCAGATTTCCTTTGGAGACTTTTTCTGAATCCTGCCTATGACTGAAGGATCTGAAATGAAAGTGATGTATAGGCTTTTTTTTCCCCTGCTTTGCTCTACACAATAGATGCAGAAAGGCTGAATTTCATTGATTTCTATTACATCAGTGCTCCCTCAACCCTTCTCCAAAAATGCTTACTTAGTGGAACGTTGATGATTATGAATATGGCCTGATGGATACTTTCTTCTCTGTCAAGAATATCCTTCCTACCCCCTGGGCCCTAAGTAAAGATTATCACAGATAACATCATGCATGTGGCATCATCTTTGTGTCCGATAACGAGTGCCTGCGCAGTTTCTCTGGCCCTTCCACTCCTCATATTGATATATTCTCCATCCATTATTCTCCAGGGATGGAGACAGTTATTGCAGCCATTAGCTGGCACCACATTTCTATTGATGCTGGACAGCTAGAGCCTTAAGAGGTAATTTTCCAGATTTTAGTCAGAGTACTTTATTGTATAAAAAGTCTCAAAAGGCTTGCCTAACCACAAGCCAAAAATTATTCAGTAGATGTTAAATGCACCCCACCTGCGCTGCTCGAAAATAAAAATAACTAAGTAAATAATAAACCCAAACCAAAACCTGTAAAAAGCCCCGATGTTTGATACTCTAATTTGCTATTTGGATGGAGTATTCCTATTTTCACTGACACTCACGTGCAAGAAATAGTGTGGTGGTTTCAGTTTGTCACAGGTCTGATCTGGAAATCACCTAGGCTTTCTTGGACGTTTTTGTTAGCTTTGTTAGGATTCCTTCTCCCCGATGGGCGCACAGGGAGCAGTTTGATCTCTGCTTTGAAGTAAAACACTGGATGTCTCATGGAAAGGTTTAATGCCTGAAGTTACGTTCTTTGAGAAGTTCTGTTTGCATGGCTCCTTCTGAGCTGCGATCAGCGAGTGGCGTTTATCCTGGATATCCCACTTATCCTGGATATCCCATGTGCAATAATAATTGCTAGGATTCCTCTGTCCGTGGGAGAGACTCCTCAGTTCAGCTCCAAAGACCTCGAGGCAGGTGGGAAGTGAGTTCCTGATTCTCAGTATTTTCTCTATCAGCGAAGAGAAGCCAAGTATGTTCTTGTGAATTGTAAATAAGCAGTTTTTATTTTTATACACATAAACACACACCCCTTCATGTAATTTGTAACTGCCTCCCCTGAGAAATGTTGATTTGATCTTGCTTTTACTTTTTAATGATGATGTTTATAAGAGTGGGATGTTTTTTTTTCCCTGAATGCAGCAATCACTGTCGGACTATTGCAGGATAACGCTGAAATATTTCTTGAAGAGGTCTTTAGGGCACTGTGGTAGATTTATAGAAAAAAATGTCTTCGTTGCTTACAAGGTGTTTTGTTCTTATTGCAGGAAAGTGTAACCACAACAGAAAAATTACACAGAGTCAGAAGCAAGGCACTGGTACCCAAGATGGGTATCTATCATATCTCCTAGGTTTGACAGTTTTAAAAATTGTCTGTAGAACAGGAAGTGCTGTTTGTGTCTGTGTAAGTTATTTTTATCCAAAGCACCCAAATCCTTAATGTTAAAGGCCAAATCAAAG